CAATCCTGACAAGAGGCATTTTTATGAGTACAAATTCTCCTTTTAAAAGATTAATGTTTACCATCGTACTTTTAGCTCCCTCTACCCCATTTTTACTTCTTACAGAACCTAGCACATCGTATATTTAAGATCCTGATTTAACGAAGCATACAGTAAATTACTAAGTTGTGTGGAACATAAGTTTCAAATAAAAAATATTTTGTCCTTCAGCAGCGAGCACAATAAATATGCATGTGCCAACTGGAAAGTAAATGTAATTCTTCCTGTTGCTGATGAGGCTGTCCAAGATAGAGTGAAAGACCTGGGTACGTTCTTCAACTGACAGACGACTTTGGTGAAGAACTTCTAATAGGTAATGCACCAGAGCTGTGAGAGAGGTTGTGAACAACTGCATTAAAACAGGTGAATATGCCTAAAGCACCCAGTGAGACACGTAAGAGACATCCCCAGCAGAACAACAAACATCTCTTAACTACCTACAGTTTAAAACCATGACATGGAGGATGCCGAGGGAGGCTGATGGGCTCTGAACTGGCTGTTACTCCTCACAGATGAGCTTGCTTAGCTTAATAGCAGACAGCCCTGTACCGCCATCAGCTCATTGCTTAGCAGCAGGCAAAAAAGGAAATGGACTACAAGGAATTACTGTAAAAAGACCAGCTGAAAACCCAGAAAACATCATAATGCAACTGCACAAATCCATAATGCAGATACATTTTGACTACTGTGTGCAGTTCTGCTCTCTCTCCAAGTAGAACTGAGAAGGGGAAAAGAGTGGCAAGGCTGACTGAAGCCATGAAAGAACATCCATGCAAGGAGCAACTCCACAGATGAAATTTTTGAAGCCAGGAAATAGAAGAGCAAGTGCAGGTAGAATAAACATCTATGAAGTCACAGATGGTACAAAAAAATGAATAGAGAAGGATTACTGAATGTTTTTCACAGCGCAAGAATTAAGGAGAACCAAATGAAACCAGCAGGTGGCTCAAAAACAACAAAAGGAAGTACTTTTTCACACAATGTGTAGTTACACTCTGGAACTAATTGCCACAGGATGTTGCAGATGCCAAAGTTTACATGAGTTCAAAAAGCAATTAGAGAAATTCACAGGAAGAAAAAACAGAAATTCCATGACTGGCGATTAGTCACAAAGATATTACCTCAGGATTAGGAAATCCTGGAACCACAGACTGTTACGACGCTGAGAGCACATACCAGGCAAGTACTGCTGGATGCTGAAACTGTTCTCATGCTGTTCCCCAAGCACCCATAACTGCTCATTGCTAGGGACAGGACACAGATACACCAACCACAGGACTCTTTCAATACATGTATTCTTAAGATTGATTGGATTGTAGGACATTTTTCAAGTAACTTTTTCCAGTTCAGCTATCCATCTTCTGCTTTGCCCTTCTTTGTATCTTAGGATCCTTTCTTCCACATAGTCACTAGTACTGGGGTTTCTTTATTTCCATAAACATACTAATTGTTCACTGGTATAAGTGTAATGATGAGACTTATGATAAGGAGTACGTTTACATTATATTTAAAGCCTTTTTTTGGAGAAAAAAGTAAACTTCAGTACAGTATAAAATATGTAATTTGTTAGAAACTGTTCAAAAGATCTGTATAGGCTCTCCAAAATATCTGGAATAAAACCTGAGAAGTAAACACTGAGAATCAGCAAGACTCAGGGCCTCAAGGTCATCAAGGTGCATCCATATAAAGGGTGAAGATACCCTTCAAGGCTGTAGAACACAGATAACAAAACCTGATCAAGTTTTGAGTCTGACATGAGCTCTCATTACAAGACTGGGTCACCCATGTTACAGAGAGTTTGACATTAACCAGTATACTGAACAGTAAAACACCTCCACTGCTTCAGCATTAAAGGGCTGATACAACAGAAGTGAGACAGTGTTGTATCATCAGCATCAAGAGGAGGCATCTGAACCTCAGGTACATAAATAATTTAGGTTTGCAAGCACAGCTTCCAATCAGGAAGTGAACCCCAGCCTCGTATTTACAAATTTAGACTGGAAGTTACAAGACTGTATCCATCAGAGGAATGCCATCCTGGAACATGCTTTCATGAGTGAGCCCCACCAAGGCAACCGGTGGAGCTCAAGAGATGTGAATGAGCTGGGTTATATAAACACAGCTGCCTGGAACAGAGAGAGACAGGACCGCTCGATTCAGGAGATCCCTCCCATTATTCCTAATCAAGATACAAATACTTTATGACTGTCTGTTGTAGGAGTCAAGATTTTCTTTTCTTAAGCAGAATCCTGGTTATCACTAAATGCTGTGAAAAGAAAACTACTTGTATAAGCACCTGAAAGTTCAGTGCTCTGTGCTATCAAAGTTTGTCTCAGGAGTATTAAGAAAAACGCTGCACCACAGAAAATCACCCTGTTCACTAAGGGAAAAGGAAAGAAATCCCCTTTTCCTGTCATTTGCCCATAAAAATTATAACCACTTAGCAATAAAAGCATGCAGAAAGTTGAGAGAACATTGCTGATTTGAATGCAGAGCTAAGCAGTGGTAGCTTTAAAATCTTCCCACAGGTACAATGAAACAGAACATGTCATCGTACATCGTTTTGTATTGAATAATGATTATTTCCTTAGAAAAGTGTGTGTGAGATCTGTGCCCTCCTGAATCTAAAGAAATACAGTACAGTGATGGCGTTCTAGCTCCACAGTAATTTATGAAATGCATACTACAAACTTCAAGCACATATACTACTACACAGACCTCTAGGATTATAAACACACAGGCAGGCTGCTCTTACAGGTTTAGGCTTAGTTTACAAAATAACGACCCCAGCTGTTACCGTTTTGAAATAGGAGGTTATTTCCAAAGCTGGCGAGAAGTAAATATTGACAATGCAAAAAATCCGAGTTGATTTCAGCGCAAAATAAAGATGGATTAACCTAAACATGATGTGCATTAAACATCCTAGCGCTTCTTTGTTTTGAAACACGGAATATTTAAGGATAAATCAAAACCACCAAGTTTCACTCTATGGCAGCTCAGGAGATACCCTCATTACATATCCGTGTCCCGCTGTGTAGGCTACCACTAGTTTTACCTTAACATATACACACAGAGAGGAGAAACGCCTTATTTTGTAAAACGCATTCCACCCACTATAAAAGAGTGGCTACATGAAGGCCGATGCAGGTTTTCAAAAGCAACACAGGATGTTTGGAGAGAATTATGAATCTGTAATAAAAATCACAGAGCCACATCACCTGTTTCAGAGACGAGTCAAAAAACCCAGACAATTTGCCCTAGATGCACTAAAAGTCCCACTCACAACTCCAGAATATAACAGCAACACTTTCTAAAGGCAAACAAGTACATAACTGACTGGCATTTAAATAACAGTACTTCCAAATATAAGATAACACTTCCAGTATAACCAAACCAGCACTATCCAAAATAAATCCTTAGATTTTGAGTTTATTGTAAGCAAAGCATTTGTTTTACATGATGTTTTGGATGTAAGAAATGGAAGACATAATTCATACTTGGTAAACTCTAACCACATGAGAAGGCTTCTCTGTCCCACTAAACCCTGGATATCAGAACACAAATAAAAGAAGAAACAGAATCCCAGAACGTTAGGGATTGGAAGGGACCTCAAAAGCTCCCCCAGTCCAATCCCCTGCCGGAGCAGGAACACCCAGATGAGGTTACACAGGAAGGCGTCCAGGCGGGTTTTGAATGTCTGCAGAGAAGGAGACTCCACAACCTCTCTGGGCAGCCTGGGCCAGTGCTCTGTCACCCTCACTGAGAAGAAGTTTCTTCTCCAATTGAAGTGGAACCTCCTGTGTTCCAGTTTGTGTCCATTACCCCTTGTCCTATCATTGTTTGTCACCGAGAAGAGCCTGGCTCCATCCTCGTGACACTCACCCTTTAAATATTTATAAACATAATTTATAAACATATTATATTATTTATTAACATAATAAACACTGACAACAGCATTCATTTATTCTGAATTAAATAGCCAAAGTAATATTTTAAGAGAAAATTAGTTGATACATCAAACACAAAATAAAGGTAGAAGAAGAAAGGTCATCTGTGATCTGATATGTATCTATGTATCTGCATGGACTTTATCATGAGCTTTTTTCTTTTCCCTTTTGCACAGCAATGGTTCTTTTTCCCCCACTACCAGTTCAGGTGTACAGCTGAGGTTTAAGTGGAAGTCTCACAGAATAACAGCAGAATGAGCCCAAAAACCCTCCGATACATGTGCAAGAGCAAGCCCCATCAGCTAAAAGTTAGTCTAAACCTTACTGGATGCACAGGTAGACAACAGGAATATCACCCCTGCCTGGATTGTTCCCTTAAAAACTTTCACTGTTTAAAATCTTAATATAGTAACCACAAAACCCCTTAAAACTTTGAGTGACTCAAAGCATTAAACTTCTGGAAGGTTAAATCTGCTAAATTTTCTTCCTTGTTAAATCTCAGCTTAACAAACACAACCCATCAGATCTTCATGTCTGCCAGGTTTTCTTCCTGTATATATGGCATAAAATGGGCTTGCCAGTAAGTCTCAGGCATTGTTTTGAAAGTCAGTATTATCTGTGAGAAGGCTGCGTATTTCATTAAACAATTATGATTTCACCCAATAATTAAAAAAGATGAGATCAAAACCACCTTATACAGTTAAACCGAATCACCCAGAGACAGGTCTCTGAGGCATGGATGAACCGTGTCGCACTCGAAAAATAAGAAACTCCCTTTAAAAGTATCACTCTGTTTTAACTACATTTTTTCAATATACTAATGCAATATATTTATATCAGTGAATTTAAAGCTAGTGTAAATGATGTTTTATCACACTGCACTACCCATGTCCACCTTTGAATCAGTAAGAACTGACTGCATTTAAGAAAAACTCCATTTGTGATATTGAATGCTAGCACATGAACAACCTATATTGCATTTGATGTACTCAAGCAAATTCTGACCGCTAACCTTCATTTCAAGGCAGTTCCAAAAAACGATAGACGGTACTCACTGAGATCCTCTGCAAGCTGGACCCTCTTCCCAGTCAGGAGCTTCACTTTTTTTTCATTGTCCTCCGCAAAATCTTCAAGCACTTCCTTTACATTCTTTTCCAAGCGCCTTACTGTAAAAAAAAAAAACCCAAAATAACAAACCAAAAAAAGTGAGTAGTGACACTTTTGCACCTGTAATGACCTAGGGAGAAAGTTTTGGGAAGGTCTGTGGGAGACACAGTGTATGTTACCAGACTAACTAACCTGGTTGGAGAAAAGGCAAACTTCTGAACACATAAGCCTCTTGTTCGGGCCATTAAGACAGGAAATTCTTCGAGAGAGACGTTTAAATTTCAAAGGATATTTTCTCTCTGAATTAAGTTATTGTCAGATTGCTTTTTTAAGAGGAGATAAAAGTATTTGTAGATTGCTTTGCTGTCTATTCAATTCAACACTTTCTTCTTCAAGACTGAGTGTCCAACAAATCTTTTATTTTAAGCATCCTTGCTTCCTCCTCCTTAACAGTTACACTTTTGCTACCAACATCACCCTCATCAGATGAATCAAGAAGTCAATTAAAGGTGAAAGATGGAAAAAAGTTAATGACGACAGCGGAGCGTGGTATTGCAGAACTTACAACACACAAAGGGGTGTTGCTGTATATTTAAGGCTAAGAGGAATCAAAAGCTCTTTAAAGTACAATTATGTCCATCTTAAACAGCCATATCCTTGCCCTTCAGACTTAGGAGTACCTCCTAATGAAAATTCCAAATTTTCAGCTCAGTGGTTGTTAATGAGGTAGGAGGTTTGAGGAGACAGGACCTAGGTTTCTACATTTAGGGGCTATTTCTTCTCTGTGAAGGGTAGCTTGCATCGCATGACAAGGCTCAATCCTTTTATTTACACCTTCCTTCAAGAACCAGGTTGAGAACCATTTTACAGATCAAAGGTCATTATTAGTAGTTCACAGAATCACAGAATATCAGGAGTGGGAAGGGACCTCGAAAGCTCATCCAGTCCAACCCCTGCCAGAGCAGGATCACCTAGACCAGGTCACACAGGAACACGGCCAGGCGGGTTTTGGATGTCTGCAGAGGAGGAGACTCCACAACCTCTCTGGGCAGCCTGGGCCATGCTCTGCCACCCTCACACTGACAAAATTTGTCCTCATGTTCAGGTTGAGCCTCCTATGCTCCAGCTTGGGACCATTGCCCCTTGTCCTGGCATTGGACATCCCAGAGCAGAGCCTGGCTCCTTCCTCCTGACACTCGCCCTTTACAAATTTATAAACACTAAGGAGGTCACCCCTCAGTCTCCTCTGCTCCAAGCTCAAGAGCCCCAGCTCCCTCAGCTACTGCTCATAAGGGAGATGCTCCACTCCCTCCATCATCTTTGTGGCTCTGCTGGACTCTTTCAAGCAGTTCCTGTCCTTCTTGAACTGAGGGGCACAAAACTGAACACAGTATTCCAGATGCAGTCTCACCAGGGCAGAGTAGAGGGGAAGGAGAACCTCTCTGCCCTACAACCACCCCTTCTCATACACCCCAGGATGGCACTGGTCTTCTTGGCCATAAGGGCACACTGCTGGCTCAGCAGTTTTACCCTGGCACTAGCTGACTGCTATGTAAATGATGCTTCATAAGGGAGCTGCTACTGCATAACCTTGTCTAGATATTATACGGCACATTTTACACGGCTTTAAAAAAATCCATTTGAATTGATTTTTTGTATCAACCATTTTAAAATTAAAATCTACAGCCAAATTGATCTCAGAAAAAAGAATATAGTCACTATTTATTGAAATTATTTCTGCTTGGAAAAAAGTCTTGAAAACTGGCATCACATAAGCTGAAAATATTTTAAACTGGAACGTGTTTTCATTATTTGACTTTCTATTTACGCTAAATCGTTTAATGTAACGAGAATGTCAAATTCTATTTATTCTACATCTTGAAATTACCTAACGAGGACACAAAAATCAGCCAGTCATGATACGCTCGAAAGGAACACATAAATAGAGGAACACGAGAAAATTTCTGAACAATTCTTTGTTCCAAATCTCTCAATTCACGACGAGCCTTACCTTCAGTGTTAGTCAGCTGCTGCCTCAGCGTATTTGCTGTAATCGCCAGCATTCGCTGTATTCGCCAGAAAAGGACAACATCGTTACATTCGAGCTGAAACAAGGGAAGTTGTGTCAGACCTCTGATGCCCAGTGAACATTCTACACTGACAAGAATCTCTTGACACCTTTAGCAGCAACTGTAAAGTCATGTCTACACATCTTGATCTTGCACAAAGTCCCACAGAGTAACTGCTGTCAGTATAAGGAAACGCACCAAACACACTTCTCAAGAACTGTGTCAGCCCTGTTTAATGCACTGCATTCCCTTTACATCTACTGTTTTCAACAGTAAGAGTGATAGCAACGAATATCACAGGAAAACAGTTTTCACACACTCTAAGCGGGCTGGTAAGTATAACCTAATGCCCACTGAAACACCACACTTGTTCATAGCAAACACATTGAAAGACAACAGCTGAACTCCACGTTGTGATTCCCTGTTTGACAAAAGCTTCTGGAGAGTGTGTTGAGCCAAGGGCTGTATTTGTTACCAACAGAAGAGACAGTTTCTACACCTGCAAGGATGGCAGGAGGGAGCACTAACTTCATATTAAGACTCTTTAAAAAGACAGTAACAGGAATAGGGGCTTAAGTGTCACAGACAGACAGCTCTCCACTCCATGATCGCATTTGCTCATCTCTTACAGACAAGTATTTCTGCAGTAGTAAAGATTTCTGGCTCCATGGGGTTCATTGTTTCTCATCAAAAAGAATAAATAAAACTCCACATAAAGTAAGGAGCTCTACCTTTCCAGTAATTTCCTTTTGATATAAAATATAGTGGTGAGAAAGCGATATATTCTTTTCTTTGTGCAACTTTGTGCATGCTGTCATTTGTTGCACAGGCTTGAGCTTATGAAACTGGAAAGTCATTTAAAAGATCTGTTTGCAAGCTCTATAGGTTTTTTGTTTGTTTTTCTCTTCTCCTGTTGATCCCATATGGTTCCAAGCATTAACTTTAAACACTTATTTATCACACTTATTCCATAAAAACCCCTTAGATAAGGCTTTCTGATTTTTTCATGTCAGTAATGTAAATAAATATCAAGGAAAGTGGGAGAAGTAGGTACCACCAAGATATCAGTAGCTGCACAATACTGCTTTTAACAGTGTATTTTCAATACACATTGATAAGCAACAGAAGTTGAGATCATGGTTGGTACCTAGTGGTCATTTTATATAATTACCACCAGGATGGCATTTTATCAACTACAAACCTCATGTAAAACATCTAAGGTCATCAGCTGTCTCAAGGTAAAGGATATAAAAGGAAGGTTAGGCTACTTTAAAATACTTGTAGAATTTTTTTTTCCAACTCAGATGGAAATATTAAGGTAGAACACCAGTGTGTATCTGTTCTTCAGTTTACCTCTGAGTCCACAAAATGCCTCTGATAATAATAGAAGCCTCTTCGACATAGATTGCAGTGGTTCAAAGCAGTCTTCAGGAAATATCTTCTATAAATTTGGTGCCACGTGTCTTTAATCTAGGAAAACAGGACTTAAATTTGACTAAATAAATACATACATTCACTACCATGCGTAATGATCACATTTAATTTTAAAATAGAACTCCAAATTCCACTATCGCCGTCATGTAACATCTGGTGAAGTATTTCTCAGCAATTTGTCTGCAACTGGGACATGATGAACGTGTTAGTTACATTTGGCAAACATTACAGATTATTGTCCATTTAAATATCTACTCTTCCATGCTTGTAACATAACTGAACGCTTAAAAAACAGTCTGCAGCCAAAATACATTTAATTTATATATAACGAAACAGGACAAACTGTTCTGCTCTCGGCACGATGCAATCTTCACATTAACATTAAAAATACAGTTTTGAGCGGTAGCCATTAATTTATCCATTAAACCAGGTTAAACCACAGATGAACATTTAATGGATTTTATGTAAACAAACATTTGTACTTTTTTTGATTAGGCTTCTTTATGTTCCAGTTCTTCAAAATTAAACATCTCTATAGACACGGCTCTTCAAAAAACTCACAAAAATAATATTAAGGAAACCAGTTGCTTAACTAGAAAGGAAACCCAATTTTCACTGTCTCCTCATGAGGAGGATGTGGATCACTACTCTGATCTTTACAAAAAGCATGGGAAGTGCAGTATAGAAAAGGGGAAGCAGGTATTTAAATAAGTCTTCTACCTCGAAGAAGTACATGTATTGATGTTGAAAAGGTAGCCAAAGTTACTGCAGAAAATAAATTGCTGTTAAAGGATATCCACGTCTATTACTTATTAAGGCTCGAATTCTCATTTATCTAAAATATTACATTTAATTAGATAAAAGGTCTAATTATGGTTAAGAGCCTTACACTGTAGTGAGATAAATAATATTTTAGAACATGAAAACTAAGAGATTCCAAAACATTGTACTGCATTTGCCTGACAACCAACAGAAGGATGCGACTTGCGTGCAAGCAGTCATTTAGTCATTCATTTGGAAACATCTGGATCACAAAGTCAATATTTAGATGGAGTCTTTGTATGCTATCGAGAAAGAACATTCAGATGTTCACAGGGGACTTCCATATGTTTTGTTACAATTCTGCATCTTACCAGACATGGGTCCACTGTTATTCCTCTTGCTTCAAGATTCTTTCTGACAGTCGTCACTTCATCGTTTGCCAGATAAGCTGCATGTTCTTCATTGCATTTGATTAATTTCTCAAGTTCATTTTTCGTTTCATTACGAATATTCTAGGATAAGAATAATGACTTAGAATTATTATAGACTCACATAGTGTTTTTAAATTGATACTTTACTGCCAATTTTTATTTTTTTTTCTTTTCATTAGGCAGAAATACAGAAGAGGAAGAGAAGAATGGGAAAAAACCATAAAAATCACAGGTATTAGTCTCCTTTCCCCTCCATGAACATCTGCTAGCAGGGTTCACACTCACGTGTGATACTGAGAAGAACTGTAATTTTTACCTAACAGCTAGCAAGAACTCTCCATGGATTCATACCTTTCAGTTGCTGTTCATTAAATTCAAGTAAGATAGGTTGAAATCACTGCCTTTCTCCCATACCTGGCTGCACACAGTTGACTGTAAAAATCCTCTCAAACAATTACAGAATCACAGAATCTCAGGAGTTGGAAGGGACCTCGAAAGCTCATCCAGTGCAACCCCTGCCAGAGCAGGATCACCAGACCAGGTCACACAGGAACACAGCCAGGGGTTTGGATGTCTCCAGAGAAGGAGACCCCACAACCTCTCTGGGCAGCCTGGGCCATGCTCTGCCACCCTCACACTGACAAAGTTTTTCCTCATCCTCAGATTGAACCTCCTGTGCTCCAGCTTGGGACCATTGCCCCTTGTCCTGTCACTGGACATCCCAGAGCAGAGCCTGGCTCCTTCCTCCTGACACTGCCCTTTACAAATTTATAAACATGAATGAGGTCACCCCTCAGTCTCCTCTGCTCCAAGCTAAAGAGCCCCAGCTCCCTCAGCCGCTCCTCATAAGGGAGATGCTCCACTGCCTCCATCATCCTTGTGGCCCTGCTGGACTCTTTCTAGCAAGACTTGGAAACGTCTCTTCAGTTTGTTTTCCTAGATCTGTCCCTGGAGATTACTTTCTAATGTATTCATTTAAACTCTACTTACTTCTTTAAAGTATGATTCAGTTTGAGAAATATCTAGAAAAAGTAACATAAAAAGCCCATCGTCTCTGGGCATTGAATGGAAGGCGCCATTTAAATTCAAAAGAAATTTCCAAAAGCTATGAGCAAACATGAAGAGAGCTTATGATGACAACAGTCATCCATAAGATACAACTGTGACTAGAATGCTAGTGACAATGCTACCACTTACTAATCAAATCCAGGCTGAGCACGACAGGAAACTGCACGCAGCTCCTGCGTAAAAGGCACGCGTGGAAGGCACAGAAGAGAATAGCTCAGTTTCCACCATGATTTCATAAATTTCTCTCTACTGGAAGAACTTTAATACTCAGGTCAATGATATAATAGTAAAGATGTAATTCAGCTCAGGAGTGGAAACCAGTTTACAAACCACTAAGTATCTGCAATATGCAAAAAGCATATGGAATGATCTGTGGTGTAATATTTAAAATATTGAATAGTAAAAGCAACTGTAAAGTATTTAAAAGTAATATTTTTTTTTGCAATCATCTAAATAGTGTGAAGATGATTGGTATTTTTGAAAATTTACTGAGTAATAATCAAGTTTCCTAATGGCTGTAAGCTGTAGATTTCTTGTATTTATTTTTTTTCCCTTTTACCTGTTCTTTGGTGCGGCCTATCCAGTATAACCACCTTTTTTTCCAATCTGGACCCACCATATCTTCAATAACAGACTCAGCTAAAAGAGGAAACATGATATTAAGTATCACTAAAAATACAGGTAAACAGCCAAACTTAAAATGATTTACAAGATCAAGAATTGACATTTTGTGCCTAAGAACAGAAGAAATGCCACACGGGGTTAAGTCACACAACTTTTACTTAAAGCAACTGTTGATGTCTTTTACTAAAATTTAAAAATGACTGCCACCTGGTAGATACTTCAAGGAAGTATATAAAAAGCACAGCATCCCTTCACTGAGACAGCCCCTCCAGGTTCCAAGTCAGGCATTTAAAAACTGTACCTTGCTGCAACTTGCATCAAAACAAACTATGCTCAATAACCTTAAATGGACCAACTACTTTCTCTGAATTTGTCCTATTCTTCTACATGTGTGTCTATACCATTTTCTTTGACCCTGCAGATCTCTTTTACTTACCTGTCAGCTGCCTCATTGCAAGAGCACTGGCTTTTGAGGCTTTATTTTGCTAACCATTTCTATCAGTATTGGTATCAACTTAAACCATCACCACTATCTCAGTTGTGCTGATAAAAAACTTGCACTGCAGGTGAGGTGAACTTGATCCGGAAATTGGCCTCGATTAAAAAGCACACAAGATTGGAATACATCACACAACTCACTGTCTTTGAGACGACTTTGGAGCGTCTCTTCCATAAAATGAATAGCTGCATCCCACTGCTGTTTATCAGATATTGACCGATCTTCTAAGGCATTGTGCTGGATCACTCGCTGCAATACAAAACAGCTTTTAACATAATAAATAATTTATGTAGGATTTAGTAAAAAAATAAAAAAATAAAAAGATTTCTGACATTCTCTTCATTTTTTTGATGTCTGTAAGAACAGCATTTATTGGGCACAAAGGATTTCTTCGAGAGGCACCTTTTCGAAGTACTGCCAGAAAGAATTTATTGTGCCTTTAATTTGACTCTCCTCTATAGCTTAGTATAAATAATGTAAAAAATACTGCAAACAATATGAAATCCCTCTGGACTACAGAATCTATGAGGAGGTTAATGAAATGCTGTTATTTCTTGTGACTATACTGAATGGCACAAATGAGCTGATGCTAAACAATTCTTAGAAGGCTGTCCTTGGGCAGTCAGTGGATTATGAAGTACTTTTTCCTGAACCAACCAAAACAATTTTACTAGGTGTTAATTTAGGGAACTAATTAACAAAAGATAATAACAAAACGAATTGAGAAACACTGAATTAACACATTATAGAGAAAAAGGAAAGATGGACACATTGCCCTGTCATTTTATGACTACATTAAAAGAATGCCAAAATACTGCAACTTCAGCAAAAATATTTCAACAGCACTTGGTAAACCCACTACATTGTACCAGGCTATCCTCTGCTCTCTCATTCCACTTATGTCGTTTAATACTTTCTTCCTTGACAGCTTGTTTCAGTTTATCGAAGATATCATCATGCTCCTTTCCTTTTTGTTCTGTCATGAAACGGGAAAATTCTTCTTGCAAAGTCTCCCACGCCACCTAGAAAGTAAGCAAACAGTACCTACTGAAATGGACCATTATACCATGCACCAGCTGGTAAAGGAACATTTATGACAATTCTCGCACATATGACAACTTACCTACGTTCTGAAAACAACATAGAAGCGTAAGAGCGAGTAACTGACTTTGCTGCCCTATCCATGACTAATAAAGTCAACACTAAACTTTGCTTTGCTATGTTGTAGCAAGTGGAGTCCTGTTAAACTTGTATAAATCTATTAAATACGAATATACTTCACCTGAAGGGTTTGTTTAACCTTTGAAAATGAGGGTTTTTTCCTATCTTTAATAGGATAAATTCAGCAGAAGAGCAAAACACAACGTTCCTGCTGTATATGCTTCTCAACATCAAGATCTTGCCAGCCTTTTACGACATGTGAACTGGTTAGAAGAACTGCAGCCAGCCCTTCAAACCATCAATTTACTTCTCTGGAACTATGCTTTCATTTCAACAGTGCGCACAGGATTTTTTTAGTAACTACACTCTTACCTCTACTGCTTTATTAGGCAGCTGCTTGTCAGTCCACTGCTTCAGTTTGATATCCACAGTAGTGTTAAAAGTCCCTGAGTTCGTAGTCTGTGCTGCTGGAAGGTAGATATTCTCAATCACATGAGTAGATACCCTCTCCCATAAAGTTTTCTGAAGAATCTCCTCCCTAAAATGGAAAGTTGCAACACATATGATGGCTTCCAAGACAAAAGTGTCTAACAGGCATGCATTCAATTCCACTGAATTCGTTAGAAACACTGAGAAAACAAGACTTCAGAGTATAGGTAATACTCCCTAACATCAGGGCACAATCTCAACCAAAATTTACTTGGAACTAAAGACACAAATACACAAGATTTTCAGCAGCAAAGACAGCTTCAGAAGTTGGCCTCTCCGACCCTTATGACTGCCACTGCACTGCACAACAGTTCCTTGCAGCCTTTAATTGTATCAATGTAGCCATACAGAGCTGTGCCCGCATATGCAAGGCAGGTGGGGAAACCACAAGGGGGCAGACTGGAAAGTATTGAAAGGATTTCTCCACACTCCCAAAAAGTTATGTGGGTTTTGTTTCTGGAGTTTTCCATCTGGGATTTTCATTGATTATTCCCAGATCTGATAAACAATGAAGCAAGTTGAAAAGTCCAACCTTTTACCAAAGCATATATTGACATTAATTTATAGACGTGCCTTGGGTCACTATAAAACTAAGCACCACTTTCCTATTTATGATACGTTTCAAGAAGTAACAATCAAAACAATATAGCTTTAAGCTTTTTAAATGACAGTAAACTTACTTAGGAAGCTTTGTAGCTGCAAACTCAGCTGAGCCTGTGTAACATGCAGCCATGACTCACAGAGGCAGTCATGCTCCTCCTGCTCCTGTCTCAGTCTCCAGTACAGGTTGAGGGTTTCTTACAGGTTGACTGTATGCTAGCTCAGCATGCTAAATCAGTTCATGTGAATGCCAGAGTTGGTAGAATGGTGAGAGCTAGGAATGCTGAAAGCTAAGGATAAAAATTGCCTTTTTTTGGTGGTACAAGATTCACTCAAGCTCTTTTCTTCCAAATGGGTTGAAGTTCAGGACACCAACCTCATCCCTGATAATGCCTTTACTAGGCCATCTGCAGATAAAGACTGAAGAACTTCTCACAAACATCCCTCCTTCCAACATTTCAACAACGGCATAATTAAAAATTGCTCTTTAAAGCATCCTTCTGAGATTTCAAAATTTTGTAAGATGTCCTTCTGACAACCCAGTACAAACAGGAATCAAAGCCATTAGTTTTACTACTGATGGAACCTATCTTTGGCATATTTAAGGCAGTGAAAGTATTTATACAAAATTAAAAGGAACTCAGGCATTTAAATGTTGAAAGAATTCACTATAAATAAAAATTAATATTGCCATCAGTAAAAAAAAATGTTTTCCTTAAAACGCTTTGTTGAAAATAGGATGATTTGGATAGTGTTCAAAGACCAATTACTGATCATGCTTGATGACCATCAGAGGAACTGGGGATGCTACAAATTAATTTCACTTACAGGATGTGCTGGAAACTTACGGATTTTACCACTTACAAAGGCACCATAGAAGGGCAGCCCTCTGATTTAGAACAAATGCAATTTCATTCCTCCTTTACTGACATGTCAATAAAAATATGCTTTTGCTTTGCTTCATCCGATCAAATGTAATGGGAAGGAATGAAACCATTAACAGGATCGAAACATTTGCATTCATCAAATGCTCTGCTGTTTTCAGGCTGCGTATAATGACCAACAGCAGCATTTTTCCATTACTTAGGTTTCCAGTTCTACTTTAGAGCTCATCAAGTCCTACAAACTAGAATCACTACACACTAACTTTTAAGAGAAATACACAGAAACATGCACGTTAAGCACCCATCTGATCTACAACATAAAATGAAGCAGACTAGGCACAGGGCAGGGTACTTCAGCATCTATTACACAGCAAACACCAAACTGGCCAACCTGCATTGCATTTGGACTAGAACAACACTCCACACTAATACACTGCCTACAACACCTTCTCTGAAAGCATCCACATGCCCAAAATGATTCTGATGCCACTAAGAGTCAGACATTTTATCTCAGTTGTTAATCTATGACCAAGGAACGGTTCAATTCAGCTTGCTGAAGGCAAAGGCAGTAAAGAAATCCGTTTCTGTGCTTCTCAGTCGTGGTACAGGCTGCTGTCAAAGTAATCTGTTACATTGGCTGTTCTCTCAGCCTGCATTTACAGTGGCCACACTTTGAAAATACTTAGGCTGAGCTCTAAGTACACCTATGTACTATGGACTATGTCTTATACCTATGTCTGCCTTACAAAGAAGCAGGGCAGCGCAGTATGGTGCTACTTGAATGAGGCTACCAAGGAGATCCACGTGTAGGATGAAGTTCTCAAACATCCAGATAATTTGTTTTTACAGCCAGAAATTCCATCATCTTTCAACTTCCAAATCTCTGATTGACAGAGACACAAAACTTCTTTTTTCCAAGGTCATATATTTTGGTCACATGTTTTTGGTATATTTTGGTCATATGTTTTATTCATATATATTTCCAAGGTCATAAATTTGATATGCACAACGATAATCCCCAAACATCAAGAGGAATTACTGATTCATACTTCAAATGAACATCTGAAAACTTATTTATTATTACTGTCCCTCTTCATTTTTGAATAGTATCTGTTGTTCATTATACTGTATAAAACCAGAACAAAACACAAAGTGACATCACAGTTTCTTGGGGGATTATACAAGTATCTGCTGATTCAGAATAATAAACAGATTTCTTCCGCAGGGATAAAGGACATAATAATACCTTGTCCTAAGAAAAGCAGTTCCTTATTTATATTTGAGAATTTTGCTTACTAAAGCATTTCTATTTTAAAGGCAAACTTTTGCTAGTTAATTAAAAAAAGTACCGTACCAGTGCTTTGGTGTGACCTGAGTCAAACTTATGACTTCATCAAGAATCTCATTCTTCGCTTTTTCAAACAGTTCATTCTATGCAAAAGGAAAAATATGAAATAGTATGATGTCAGTATAGCTTGATCATATTTCCTATAAAGAGTAAATAACCAAAACCTTTGTCTTATGGCTTTTCAGCCTCAAATGGTACCTCCTGGTCACGTTCTGGACAATGTATGTACTTGTCGTAACCTACCCTGGTTTACCACACATCCTCCCACCCATATCTTGCATGCCTCTGGCCAGGCATAGCATTTCAGTATTCAGGCTCTCTATCAAGGAATTAAGAGAATGTTTTGTTTTGTTACTCTGTCTGTCTGAAAGACCAGGGAATATAACTTCTCTTTGCCATTTCTGTCACATAGAAACACTGACCTATTCCTGTAGGCAAGTTAGGACAGTTAACTGTACACCAGAACAGTGAAGGGCTTGCTAAGCATCGAAGGATCACAATTATGATGTATTTCCTTCCCCTAGGAAACATTATACTGTCCTCATATTTTAAAATGTCAGTACTTTAACTTTAAGAAACCTTTACAGATGAGATTAAACGGCATAAATTTTAATCCATAATCTTTAACAGTTGGTAGCACACAAATTGAAGCGGTGGTGTAATTTACCCTGTCAAGCTCTCGCAACCGGGGGTAATTGTTCTTCCATTCAGTCTCAAGATTGAAACGTGTGGCTGCAAAAATCAGAAACAAGGCCTTAGGTTTTTATAATTGTCTATACGCATTTCATTACTGTCTTAAAAGTTCAGCAGCTCTTAAAATTGTCACAAATCTTGCTTATGAAAAACCCTCCAAGAACTTCAAGTGCCTCTGCAAATGAGCAAAGTTTTTTTGCTCTCTATGCTTCATGCATTGAAAAAAAAGTAGTGGAAAGAGAGATGTTCAGCTTCCAGCTCTGTACAAGTCGGCCCTGCCCTGGCTGATCAGATGGCTTAATTATATAGGAAACCAATTCAAGTAGCAACCAAATTCAGTGGAAGCACCAAGTTTTTTTGCCTAGAAAAAAACCCTATTTTTTGTCTTCATATTTATTTACTCCTTTGGCTTTTAGAGCAAGTGAGTCCTTCATACCATGAGTTTTTAAAAATGTGTATTTGTAAAGATTAACTGGAAAGATTATCAAATCACGAGAAATTGTCATCATACAAAACACAATTGCCCAAACATGCTGGCAAAACAGCGTTATATGAATGTGGAATAACTAACTGTTTAACAGCAAGTTGCTATTTTGCTTGGTTTTTTAAAAAGATATTTACCTTTAAAAGCATCTGCTTGCTGCTCCACAGACTCTCTCACCATTTTCCAGAAGCAATCTGACACAGCAAGACTTAAGTTCTTTGTTGTTACCTGGTGTGCCTTCAGCATACTTGTCCTGTAAAGGAAGAAAGCTAGAGGAAATGCTTCTATGTTGTGCCTTCAGGCTTCCATTTTCTCCTCATAAGAATAAAGCTTTGCTTTTTATAGCAGAGAATAACATGTCAATGTGCACCTAATCCAAACTCCAATCTCTCCCTCCAAAATATTCAATACGGATAATCACCAATGGAAGCAGGGGGGGTGAGCAGAGAACAACAAAAGTTGTTCACCACAAATAATTTTTTATTCTAGAGGTTGCAGTACAAGTACTGCAGTCCCAGAGACTACAGATTGCTTTCCTGGGAAATACAAACCTGTGAAATCAAAATTCTGATCAACGAACTTCCAGCAGAACACACATGCTAACCCTTTGAATACAACACTTGTCACACTAAGATGACTGACACTACAACTAAAGGCACTACAGCTGTCATCTGGGCTGCATACACTCTCCCTGTCTGTCTTTATCAAGCACCTAGACACAGGCTGGGGACTTCGTTCTAGAGTCAATGGAGAGATATGGAAACCTCTGAAGAGAGGCTCAGAACTGCAGTGGAATCAACTGCTGCCTGAAGATGTCCATCTCCCTCCATTGAATTACAGTAAGGATTAGGAAATCAGGCTAACCTGGTCACCCCAACAAGATACTTGATTCAGGCAGATTACATCTCCAATAGTGTTTATAACAGCAGTAATTTTTTCAAGATAACAAGAAAAACTGATGCTAGCATTTACAAACACAGGCTCATTTTAGTAAAAGGAATAAAGAGCAACATACTTTAAGAGCTTTGAATTTTGAAAAAATTCCTCTTCGTATTCTTTAATAGATTCAATGCTTTCACTGCTGTTTCCTGGAGAAAGAAAAGAGTGCTGCAACAGTTCAATTTAGACACTCTTCTCTGCTATCAATGAGAAAATAAGCAGAGCCAGAGCTCTCTTTACCTTTTCCAGTAACAACTGCAAAATAACCCAAAGCCTTCATTGGGAAGAGTTTGCCTTCAATTATTTGCTGGATCTAGGAAAAGAAAGGATTTCAAAGAAGTGGTTAACTTTGCATAGATATATTCTTTCCTTCAGCGCGGTTTTAAAGCCAGATCTAGCTGTATCTACGCATAGACCACCATAAAAAAGCAGTTTGTCACAGGATTATCAGTTCTACTGATATTTAAAAGAAAAAAATATATATAAAGACATAAACCAAATAAGGCATAACACAGCAAAACACAAAACAAAGTGAAAAAAAAACCTATCCCAGAATATCCTAAAGCCATCTCAGGAAAGAGAACTTGCTCAGGTCATCTGCATGAGTGGAACCAGTGTTACAGTAAGCTGTAGCCAAGCTGTGGTGGAAGTCAAGCAGCTGATAACTAAAAGCAAAGCCTGAGAGAGATTAAAAAAAACAACCACCCCAAAAAATCATACCAAGTACAGAAATAAGCACTCAAAACATTTAGAATAGGTAGATGAGGTCCAGTATTTCTGACAGCATCTCAAGTATTTTTCCACGTGTGACTTTAGCCATCCCAATATGAGAAAAATAGTTTCAACTCACCCTGCTTGGGCTAGCCACATTCTTCTCAGCAAGATCCACTTTAGTCAACACAAAAATTGTCCTTTTTCCTTGGGGATCCATCTGGCTGACTAAGTCTGTGACAATACTGCGTTCTGCATCCACTGATCCATCTGAAGTACACAAAACCACAGTTATATTTCAGGAATTGTGTAATCTAAACACGCAGTACTGAAGATATAGTAGGCAACAAATAAGTTTCACGTTACAACTTAAAAACAGTAAAATTACACCTATAGTTCCCAGTATCATACAAAATCAGTTTGTTGTAGTTGTTTAGAACAAGTACCAGCTTGCTCAAAATATTAACCTCTACTATTGTCTGTTGCCTCCAAAAACACTTCAAAAGAAATCTCAAATTTTTCTTTAATAATAAAAAGCTCTTATAAAAAAGTTGCTTTTTGCCATGGATACCACAGCTGTCTTAATTTATACACCGACAATTCACAGCACGCTGTTTTGCACACTATACAAATTACCACAAATGAAAAAAAAAATATATATAAATCGGGAGAGTCCCCAGAGTAACATAAGAATCAGAATTAAAATTTAAAAAGTCCTCCCAGTAAGATAACCATCTAGACTCTGATTACCTTGAATACAAAGGATGATGGCATTAGGATTCTGCATGTAGGCCTTGCTGATGCTAAAGATAGTTTCCTTTGTATCTGGAGCCATACCTGATGTCACAGTCTTTAATACGTATATGGAGATATATGTTTAAAGGGAAAAAAAAGAAAAGAAAACAGAGAAATGTGAAAAAGAAGAACAACAGCTAATGTTCTCATCAATAACACCACCTCCCTTACATGTCTTAAGGATTTCTTTTACATACAGCATACTTACACTAATGACTCCAGGTAAATCAACCAATACCATTCTCTGCAAACCAGGACCTTTCACACTTAAGGAGATGGTCTGTGAAGTAAAATTGAAATGAAAGGTTTATGCATACATATAGTCTATATGTAATTACATACACAAACACGCATATATAAAATTATACATATTGCTTTAAACCAGCAAGAGCCTATAATTTTAAACAGCAAGTACAATCTGACGTGCATGTAATTGTGATACGATTTTTAACAGTCCGAATACACTTTGTATAGTGCAAAATATTAAGTATACACTAACTGCATTCACCACAGTCTCCCATTTGAAGAATAATTACAAAAGATATAGATGTACAAATATTTGCCACTAAATGCTTAACAAGTCTTACCTCAGTGCTAACAGTGCACCCTTCCTTCACACTATTTCTCATTCTGATTTCTATTTCATTTCTCAAAGCTGCAAGCTGTTTTGAGAAAAACAAAGGATCAAATATAAAACTGCTTATAATTACAACAGAAGAAAAATCACCAGCATCAGTTTAAAAAGTTTACTGAGGGATTAAGATCTCTGTTTATAAATAATGTTGCAAGTGCATGTTGAATAACCAAGTATGGTAAATACTGTAAAAATTAGATTACCTGCAGACCCCTGCTACTCAAAAAAGTATCTTGGCATAAGATATCCCACACTTTACCCAGCTCAGTGCCAGCCAAAAGCCATACTAAGAGTAATTTAAATAACTGATATAATGCCTTGCGCCACTAAAAATATTTCATTGTACTTCAACAGGGGCTAACAGCCCACAGAGATGCAAAATTTTTCAGAGAATTAATAAAAGTCACGTTGACTTCCAGCCAATTCTTTATACTTACATCCTCTTCCTTGGTCAGATCAAACTCCCGAGAGCTGTCCTTGAATAAAGCCACATGGTGGGGACCTTCACTAAGGGTTACCTAAATGGTAAAAGCCTTATATGAGAAAGCATGGTAAATCTAACAGAGAAACATGAGAAGTACATAGCATACATATACTTCTCATTACAGATATACAACTATATGCACAAGACTACTTATGGTAAGAACAACTACTACTCTAACAGTATATATGAATCATATGTTTCGTCATTAACTGCAACAAATGACTTGCTTAGAGACCATTTTATAAACAAATGTTCACAAATACTTCCATTAATGGCATAATCAGAGGTAGAACAATATGGCAAATGCTGATTCAGAGATTATAATGTTTCCTACCTTAACAGGGGAACGTGTCATCATCTCCCCAGACCCTCGAGGGAATATGCGGGCTTGGGCGATCATTTCTAGCACACTCGTTTTTCCTGCGCTTTGATCTCCAACCACCACAACCTTAAGTGAAAGTTTAAACATCCATTGGCTTTTAGCAGAGCATTTTAGAAACTTAGACAAAAGCCTACTAAAAAGATTTGACAATTTGCATTGTTTAAATATGGAATCCTTGAAGAAATGCTAACTTTTAGTCATGCAAAAAAACTGACTTGTGCTCAAGAAAGCACAGCCCACAAAGCATCCTATGGGCCTAACCAGCCAGGCCATGTAATGAAGAGACAGGGCTTGCTACTCTCATGGCAGGCAGTTTTCTGCTTGTGCAAAATCCTTTCAGCAAGGTGAAACACTGAAGACTAATGTGGTAGATGCTGCTTCTGCCTGGAGAAGGCTGAACTCTGATGTAGTTACTGTCATTTCCCCCATCTTACTGGCTTCCTACAGAGGCCACAAGTGATTGTGTAGGCAGGAAGCACTCCTGACTCTCCCCTATGCCAGTAGTTGGGCCACCCATACCCCTTCTCACACTCCCCCTTCCAACAGCAGCACTACTGCAGAGAGTTAGCTGAGACACTTTACCCTTCTCAGTTCCACTGGTGCACACTGGGTAACAAGTTATTTTACACTGCTGAGAAGGCTGGAGTGCTCTCACTGAAACCATTTAAAATAAAAGGCTGAGCAGAGCAGCAATAAGATCCAGATAAGGTTTTATCTATGAGCCAAGGCAGACTTAGCATTGGTTATTCTCAAAATTCTCTTGTTGCATCTAAAATGGAGAACTTGTCTTAAGCAAAACCCCTGCAGTTACAGGAAAACAGCCTAGCACTAGCTTTGGATTATTCTGCAATATAATTACATGTTCTATTCAATTATAAGACCCGTGATTCAGTGAAAAGCCTTGAATTCTTTATTTACTTACTCGAGGTAGGTGATCTTGAGTGTTATAACTGGCATCATAATCCGACAGGATATCAAGTACTTCAGAATACATATCAATCAAGGATTTCTAGAAAAACCCAAACCAACCAAACAAACAAAAAAACAAGTACAGAGAGAAAACAGCCTATTAACAGAACAAAGACTGGGTTTCAGACTACTTCATCTGTATATTCTGCAAACTCATCTGTAAAAATGTGTTTATTCCCACCTGATGGTTTGAAACCCTAACAGCACAGATCTGTTTTATGAAGTACAATACCAAGCAAAGAGTAAAGTAATTCCTTGCCTTCTGTGGATGACAATACTACAGCTGCAGATGCACCTTGCTGAAAGAGCAAAATGAGGGCTCTTACATACAGTGCAAGAGAACAGTACTCAGACGTAACTGTTTCCAAGTTACGAAGCTGAATTAAGTTTCTTCCACTAAACATCTAGACTTACATTATCAGCTTGATGAACAGTAAGCATTAAGAAGGGTTGAGAATTATCAACCTCATTCTGTAAAAATAAGAACTCCTTATCTTCCAGTTCCCACAGGAAAGAGAAAGATCCAGCACAGACAGGCACAAGAAGTCTGATTTGAGAATGTTCAGAATGTTGGCAGACAAAAGCAAAACCACACTTAGTTCAATCTCTGGGATTTATATAGGGTCATTAAAGGATGTTTGCTGACCCCGTAACTATTTTCCTACTGAACTCCGTAAGACCCATGGCAAAGCACTGTCTGTGTAAGAGCTGGAACCATATTTATTAGCAAATAGAGTGAAGCCACATCAAAAAACCCAATCCACGTTTCCTCCTTACTTAGGTAAGTTATTCAGTTAGACCTGGTAACCCCTCTGTGCTCTTTAACTGAAGCCATTTCCAGAAGTTATACAGTTAAAAACCCAAAAGATGTATAAAAGCCTTAACATGTCAAAAATTAGCATAGCTATAACAAATGTTAAAAGTTCATATATGAATTAACAAATGCAATTTAGAATAGCATTACAGAAAATACGGTATAATTATATTTCTATGATGATCTGGAACACGTCAGTACCTTTAACTTCCTCTGATGAATTCCTTTGTCATCTCTTTGCAGTACCAATTTTCTTAGTTCTTTGTTCTCTTTCTCTAATCGCTCAAGCATTCTTTGGTATTTGAGCTACAAAACAGTGGTACAAATATACTCGTGAAATTATGGAAATAGCACACTCACATGAGCAAAGTTTTACCCATGAAAAATATATTATCCTTGAGGCAAGTATTGAAAAAAAATACAGAAACCTTTGTAATCACTAGTTTATTAAAATACAAGAGCTAAAGAGCCAATCAATTTAGAAACCTAGAGGTAGAACAAAAGATTTACTGTACATTAACTGAAGACAACTAAGCAAGCAAACCAAAGTAATGACTAATACACATCAACGCTGCAAAAAAGTCTAGCTCAAAACAAACTAGTTCCGCTTTGCTAATTAAGGAGATTAAAACTTTGTTGGAATGAGATTTGGTGAAGTTCAAGTCAATTAATGGGACAGGAAGGGATCCCACATCTGCACTGAAAAGCCCTGTGAAGGTATCACACACAAAACCGTTAAGTTTGCCGTAAGGCAACACACCTTGGAGGAATAAGTGCTGCTGTCTAAGCAAGAACTGGAAGGTACATAGCTGAGGATCATGGCTCCTGCTCTGTAAGGACTGCCTAAGGGATGAAATATTTCTTTGTAAACCAGATCTGCACTTGCACACTGAATTGGCCAATATTATGAAAACTGCCCCCTCCGCTCAAAGGGCTGGAAATGCTCCTTGGTTGAGCAGATGTAGGGAATTCCTAAATCAGGTACTGACTGCAACACCAGATTTCAGAGAAGGTGAAAATGGTTTTATTTTTGTTCTTAAATAATGAATGCTCCTATATACCTGCATCCTTGATAGATTTGTTACTATTGTAACCTTGTCAGATTGTAAACACAAGCTTTACATAAGGGGAACAAAGTAACATGCATGCATTCACTATACACAGAAATTAATATTAAAAAATGGGCTTTGCAAATGTCTATTATTGAACTCCTAGATCCTCTGAAGTTAGGCCATGCACTTGTTAAGAGGCCAGTTTGAAAAGCAGTGATCCCAAAACTGATTTCTGCAGATCTTTTCTGCCAGGTAATAAAGCAAGCTTCTCTTTAATGGAAATAACAGAGGAAATACTGAACACAGGATGTTACTTGCCAAAGCACATCTTCTCTTAGGCCATATTAAATTACAACAATTAAACTAGATGGAAGAGATCCAGAAGAAATTGAAAGTGGCTTAGGTTGTGTGAGGCAGTATTTTTCAGAAATATATCTAATGAAATCCTACCAACAGCTGCCATTATTGTTCAAATTCTCACTGGTTTTATTGTTTTTTCCTTAAGGACATCACTCTGAACAGCACCATGCTCTTCAGTTTCTTAAAGGGATTAAATATTCTTTTAAATCCCAAAAAGAAGGCAGAGAAAAAGCTTTTAATCTGCCCATAGCCATTTTTATACTAAACAGTTCCATCATAGGAACACTTTAATTGCAAGAACTGCTTTGATTTTGATAAACACTGCTTTGTGTTGTAGACTTGTACACATCTCTAGCATTGTAACTGCAATTATTTTTCTTGATGGAAGAAACCACAAAAGATATTTCAGTTCTCCTGAATGCCACTGCACTATAATCTGAATGTCTTTTTTCTCTTGGACCCCTGATATTTGGTCAGCAAATGCACTTAAAAGCTTCTTTACTAGAAATTATATTTCCTAGATTAACAGATTAAAATGTAACTTCTTAATTAAACTAATTTCCTTTCTGCAATAAATGAGCCACGTAAACACACAAGATCACACAGATATATTTAGTAGCACTGAAGTTATAAAAGAGAATTGCAGAATGTTGGGAGTAACGTTAGCACGCACAACAAGTTAAAAACTGGAATATAACCATTGTATTTAAATAACGCTCTCCAGCTAGCTTTACATTTCAGGAATATACAGCACTGAAGGCAAGGAAGGTATTTTGGGAAACTATGATTACACATTTGCCCTGTTCTTACTCTCCCCTTTGCATTCTGTCAGTTACTGGCAGTGAAAGAGCAGACTAGACTGACCTTTGGTCTGTGCCAGCAGAGTCAACTCTGTATTGATAAACTCCACGACTGAATAAGCACTGCAATTTTCCCAAATATCTTGTACTTCAGCTATGCTTTTGTCTGGTAAATTTGAGTCTGCTGCACTTAAATCTCCACTTAAGACATCAGTAATTCAAAAAAGCTACCTGAGTGTGCAGAAGTTCTTCTTGAAGTTGATCAATCTTCTCTTTGTCAGAAACCTATGAAGAAAAATAATCATGGCTACTACCACATTGTTTAGTTTATCCACTGCACATAACAAAATCACAAACTGAAAGCTTCATTCCACACAAGAAGACTGACTTCACATGCATTTTAAAGCAAGTAAAATTCTTCAATTAGCGTTTGAGATTTAATGTTGATGGAAAGATCCATCTGCAACAGGAGGCTCACATAAAAAGAAGTCTAAATTCCAGTACATGCAAATGCAAAAAATAACCCTTCAAGAATTAACACTAGGAAAGTGGGCTTAGGAAAAAGCAAAGCTCTATATGGTGCCACTGCCCTAAATGCAATTTTAGTGGTCGAACTCTCATGACTTTCAATGTTCATTTCTTGAACTAGCATGATCTTAATGGGATACAATCACTGAAACCCCTGCTTGCTACAGAAACTGTTCAGCTGAGTATTCTCTATTTCTGAAAATTCAAGGAGATTCTTATTTCATGTTTGTTTCAGAATTATACTCCTAAACATGAATGCACAACTTTGTAAATTGTAGTTAAGCAGGACAGTCTTGAAGGGTTATTTTAAAATCATTTCAATTACATGAAAAATTGGAAAAATTAGGTTATTATAATACAAAACATTTTGAAGTTCAAGACAAATGTAGTAAGATCAGGCAATCAAAGCCATTCTTAGTGATATATTCTTAAAACAGGTTCATCAAGATGTAATAAACAGTTGCTCAAAACAATCCCCTTTTAATAACACAAAAGCAAGACAAAAGCATAAATAGTGCAATACAGATTCGTATGATGTAAATATTTACAAACAACAAAATCTAATTGTTAACTGATGAAAAATTTAGGGAAAATATAATCGAAACAATTACTGAAAGAATGATACAGTTCAAGTTTCAATATTTAAAAAAGCTCATATAATAAAGTGACATTTAGAACTGAAGTTAGCTTCATATCAGGAAGAGTATATTATGCAACACACAGAGGACAGCTGTCATTCAGACACAAATCAAATTAGTTAGCATTTCAAACCAGTTGTTACAGCTTAAACAAGAAAAGAAATCCACAATTATTCACAGTGACTGATATAACTCAGCTATTAAACCTGTAATATGCAGGATCATGTCTGTACTTTACAAAAAGCAATCCAAGCTCACACTTCCATCAGTATCCAATTATATCCAATTATTTTCTTATTCGTAAACAGCAAAGAGGAAGTGCTACAAATTGAATTCCTTTTCATTTCTGTTAGTTCAGTGATAGCGAAAGTGCATCACAAACAGGGCTAGTTTAGCACACAGACAACTTGATGCATGCAACCACTGGTTGATGTATGTAAAACATTTACATATACACGCACTTTAAACACCTAAGAGACAGAAGGGGAAAGTAAAGAAAGGAAGGGCAAAGAGAATGGTATGGAGAGTCAGAAGCAGCAGGAAAAAGTCAAGAAAAGGAAAGCTGAGCATTTCCATGCGGTGCAGATTTTCAAAGCCGTTAACACTTTCCCACTCTCTGCTCTTAAGCAAGCAGTTCCTGCAAGTACTTCTGGGGCCTTGGTGCATCTTTGAAGGACGGACTTACACACAGATTGCCTCTAACCATGTGAGCACCGCCTTTTATGTACAGTATACTTATGTTAAACACAGCAAGCAAAAATATCGCACATTGCTTCTGATCTTGCAAAACGTGGCTAAGAATATCTAGCACTAGATGATCAATTCTAAAAAGGACAATTAGGTAAGCTATGTCAAAAATAAACAGCTCTAGAACGATGTAGGAGCTCTACCATTTGGTTCAGGTGCACTCTGAACATTCAGCTCCAGTTAGCACATATGGTGTTTTGAACATGTAATTCATCATATTGCTAAAAATTTTTAAGTCGCCAATAAAAGCTAAAACTGTCGTAACAATCTGAAATACTAAGTCACATATGACTAATCTGTGATCTATGATTTCTACATTAAATAAAAAAAAATCAACTATTAAAACATCTCTATATAGGCATTTGTTTAATCCAGTTCAGCATGGTTTGTACAAGATTTAACAGAGCACTGGCCCAGGCTGCCCAGAGAGGTTGTGGAGTCTCCTTCTCTGCAGACATTCAAAACCCGCCTGGACGCCTTCCTGTGCAACCTCATCTGGGTGTTCCTGCTCCGGCAGGGGGATTGGACTGCATGAGCTTTGGAGGTCCCTTCCAATCCCTAACGTTCTGTGATTCTGTGAAGATGTCTCCTTCTCTCCCCACTGCCACCAAAAAACGTTATGAGAAAAGAAAACTGTAGGGCCATTTTTAACTGAGGGTTCCTGCACACAAAGATGCAGATATCTGCTTCCTAAGACTACCAGAAGCTCCTTATAGTTACTTATTTAGTGCAGTGGTTGCTTTCCAGCAACATTTATGAAGTATGTGCATCTGAAAATTCTGTATCTTTGAAATCACAGTTATTGGTTTTGTGCATTCTCTAAACAGGCTACAAATAACTCTATATTGATCATCTACAGAAGAAACACAATGATTTCCAGTAGTATCAATGAAAATATCAAGGCCCAGACAAAATGCATATAAGAAGCAGGATGCACAGTGCAGCTATACATGACTAATCAATTATAATGTTAAATATTTATCAAAAGTCTGACCAAAAAAAAAAAAATCATCAGGAAACAATTACATTTTTGCTTTTAATACCTTCTTCCGACTGCGAGAGAGTTTCACTATTATTCATTTTACAACTGAAGTAGATTTAGTATTGAGAAATTACATTAAAATGGGAAATGTGCAATTAAATTGGGCAACAGAGCCTCCAAGAATGGAAATGAAACGATTGCATTCTGTAGCACAGGCAAGCGAGCCGACTGAGTTAAAAACCAAACAAGGTTAGTCTGTGCCCTGTCAAAAGGGCACGCAATCACTTATTTCAACGACAGTAACAATTTCTTCTTCCAAAGAACTTGGATCAATTACTGGAATCTTTAAGTTGCCCTCTCATTTCAATATATTAAAGAAAATCATTTACCATCCTTTCCAATTCGTTTCAAGCAAAAAGATCAGTGTGACAAACAAGCCACATTCCTTGTCCTTAGGCACGTACACTAAACAGGACACTTGAATGCTAAATTAAAACTCTGTAAGAAGTCGAGGGCAGTTAGACCTTCAGCACTCGAAAGACACAGAGTATCTGCCTTGGAGGTCAGGGTAACATTTACAAAGAGAGTCCTTACAGCTGTTTCACAGCTTGGGAATTGTACCATTAGTTGCAAGAAAGTACTGACAAGGTAGAATTTCAATCAGAAACAAAAGTAATATCAAGCTCTTTTTTCCCCCCAGTTGTGTTTATTAGGATGATACATTTTCATGTATCAGTTATTTATTGCCTTTCCGTAATTATTACATCTTCATATTCTTGGTTATAAACTTGAAGCTACTATTCAGTACTTCAGCTCTCTTGATAAACTGTATACCACACGACAGAGGCTGAAGGAATTCTCTTTTTAAAAAAGAGAGTCACTGAACAGAGAGCGTTCAGTGTCCAGACCACTGAAGAGCTCTTAACTCTCTTACTAAAATACACATCTGGAAGGAAATGAATGCAAGGACACTTGTAAGACACCTTTTAGGTAAAATGATCCCAAATAACTGCATTACCATTATATTTTGTTATACAATACCTAGATTCCTAACTGAGGACAGGATGTATCAGTATTATTTTAAATCCAGAGAGAATATTAACTAAATAAATTTGAAAAATCAAGTATAAGGAAAAACTGCATTTCACTTTTTTTTTATATTAAAGGAATTTTAACAGTTTAGAGTGGCCAGGGGTTGTAACTCTAAACCATAATAAATAACATAGCAAGAAAGTTAAATATTTAAATTTAAAATACTATTTTAGCTTCAGAGAACAAAGTTATTTACTCTGTTGAGGGACTAAAAAGCATGACAATTGCAGCTATGCAACTACATCTAAAAGTTTAATTCACATTTACTGCGTTCCTCTTTCTGTGGGAGTTATCTTCAGATGTACAGATTAAGTTCTGTATCCAGTGCTCAATCCCAAAGCTGCTGAAAAATATGAGTAATCAGATTTTTTTTTTTGAGGACACAGAAGCAGCCAACAATGTAATGTGGCTAAGAATTAATGTGTTTTAACAGATCAGACAACTAAAATATCCCAATTTAGGAAGCATTTCCAATTCATCTCAGCCATATAACGATGAATAAAATAATCAGAGCTTAAATTAAGTAAGTAACGTGATGTGCAGATGTTCAGGAACCAGAGCATATCAGTATAAACTGTGATTTAAGAGGGGAAACAGACAAAGGAATACCTTTGACACATATACAGCAGAGACTGCTGTTAACAGCAGTATTTAATTGCCTGTGTAAAACTGTTTCTTAAGAGCTGCTCTCATTCTCAGATTGGGAACAGTATAAAGCAGGAAAAAAGTGTTCCCAGAGATTCATTGCCTGTAAATAGCTAAACTCTTATGAGATAAAGCTACAGTGAGCAAGCAACAGTAGAGAAAAAAGACTTGACATTTATTCACATACTTGCCTTAAATGCATTTTTAATGTATGAACTTTAAATAACAGTATTTATAGAGGCAGAGAACATACAATTTCAAAGTGACACAAAGTACTTGCTTTGCTTTTAACACCATGCTTTAAATGCAAATTGGTTAAACTGAAACAAGACTATACACCTGTAGCAAAGTTGTCTGTAATAATTATTTGGGCTCATTACTTAATTAGTTAGATTTTTCTAGCTCTAATACAGAAGGCTGAAGTATTTGATTAGTGTGAATACAATACATATTGTCCCTTAAGCCATCACCTTTCGCTTCTGCTGGGAAGAGCCCATGTTATATTGGCCAGCAGCTCTGCGTGCTTCCTCTTCGTGTTGCTGGATTTGTTGTTGTAACAGAATGAGTTCGCCAAGCAGGCCCTGCCATGAGTTTATAATAAAAAGGAGAGGAAAAATTTGGGGTGTAAGGAGAACAAAGTTAAACCAAAGGAC